CACCATCACCATCACCATCAGCAGCATCATCATGATCAGCGTCATCATCATCATCATCATCATCATCAGCATCATCATCATCATCAGCATCATCATCATCATCACCATCACCATAATCGTCATCATCATCAGCAGCATTATCGTCATCACCATCACCATCACCATCAGCAGCATCATCATGATCAGCGTCAGCATCATCATCAGCATCATCATCATCCATCACCAGCATCATCATCAGCATCATCAGCATCAAAATCATCATCATCATCATCGTCATCCTCATCATCCGCCTCGCATCATCATCATCAGCACCATCATCAGTATCATCGTCATCCTTACTGTAACCATCACAATCGCCATCACCATCACCATGATCATACTTATCATCCTCGTCATCATCACCACCACCCTCATTATCACCACCAGCATCGGCATCATCATCATGGTCAGTATGATCATCAGCGTCGTCATCATCGCCATCACCATCGCCATCATCAGCATCAGCATCAGCATCAGCATCCATCATCATCAAAGTCCGTATCATCCTCATTGCCCTCATTATCCTCATCCTCGTCCCCCTCCAGGTCCTCAGCCTCCTTGTCGTCCTCCCCCTCCCCTCTTTCCTCCTCCACCACCTCCTCCTCCTGCTGCCCCTGCTCCTCCTTTTCCTCATCCTCCCCCACCCTGTTCGTCCTCCGCAGCAGTCCTCGTCATCCTCCAGATTCCCCGTTCTCCTCGCTACTCCTCGATACTCCCTGCTCCATCTCCCTCCTTCTCCTCCACGCTCCTCGCTCCTCGCTCCCCGCTCCTCACTCCTCCTCCTCCTCCTCCTCCTCCTCCTCCTCCTCCTCCTCCTCCTCCTCCTCCTCCTCCTCCTCGTCGTTCCGTCTTCTCACCCCGCACCCTCCCTATTCATCCTTGTCATACCTCTGCACCTGCTTCCTTGTTCTGCTCCTCCTGCTGTTCCACTCCTCCTCCTACTCCTCCTCCTCCTCCTCCTCCTCCTCCTTTTCCTCCTCCTCCTTCTCCTCATCCTCCTCCTCATCCTCCTCCTACTCTTCGTTATCCTCCTCCTTCTCCGTCTCATCCTCCTCTCCTCCTCCTCCTCTCCTCCCTCCTCCTCCTCCTCCTCCTCCACACCATCATCAGCATCATCATCATCATCAGCAGCAGCATCAGCAGCATCATCACCGCCACCACCGCCATCGCCATCATCAGCATCACCATCATCATCATCATCATCATCATCATCATCATCATCATCATCATCATCATCAGCATCATCAGCATCCTCATCATCATCAGCATCATCAGCATCATCAGCATCATCATCAGCAGCATCATCATCATCTTAATCAGCATCATCACAATCATCGTCGTCATCATCACAATCATCAGCAACATCACCACCATCATCATCGCAATCATCATCAGCAGCAGCATCATCATCATCAGCATCATCATCGTCATCATCATCAGCATCATCAGCATCGTCATCAGCATCAGCATCACCATCATCACCATCAGCATCATCATCATCATCATCAGCAGCAGCATCATAGTCAGAATCAGCATCAGCATCATCATCATCATCATCATCATCATCATCATCATCATCATCATCAGCATCAGCATCATCGTCATCAGCAGCATCAGAATCAGCGTAATCATTATCATCACCAGCAGCATCATAATCACAAGCATTACAATCACCATAATCAGCATCAGCATGATCATCGACATCGTCATTTGCATCATCATCAGCATCATCAGCATCATCAGTATGATGATGATCATCATAATCATCATCATCATCATCATCACCATCATCATCATCGCCAGCATCATCATCAGCAGAATCATCAGAATCAGCGTCATCATCAGCATCTCCATCATTCCCATGTGTAATCTTACTATGAGCATTCAGATATCATTAGCGGCATCAACATCATCATCATCATCATCATCATCATCATCATCATCAGCATCATTGGCATCATCAGTATCAGAATCATCATCATCATCATTAGCACCATCATCATCATCATCATCATCATCACCATCAGCATCATCACCAGCATCATCATCAGCAGCATCGTAACCATCATCATCGACATCAGCATCATCGTCGGCGTCGTCAGCGCCGGCATCGACGCCACGTCGCCATTACCTGAAGATCATCATCATCAGCAGCACCAGCATCATCATCAGCATCACCATCATCATGAGCATCATCAACATCGTCATCATCATAAGCATCATCATAAATATCATCATCGACATCAACATCATCATCGTCGTCGGCGTCGTCAGCGCCGGCATCGACGCCACGTCGCCATTACCTGAAAATCATCATCATCAGCATCAGCATCATTATCAGCATCACCATCATCATCATCAGCATCATCAGCATCGTCATCATCATCACCATCACCATCGCCATCACCAGCAGCATCATCAGCTTCACCATCAGCATAAGCATCATCATCATCGTCGTCATCGTCATCATCGTCATCACCATCATCGTCAGCATCAGCATCGTCAGCATCAGCTGCAGCATCATCACCATCATCAGCAGCAGCATCATCACCACCATCTTCAGCATCACAGCTATCACCAAAGCAGCAGCATTATCATGACCATCATCAGCACCAGTACCACCATAATCGTCAGCATCAGCATCATCAGCATCATCAGCATGAGCAGCAGCATGAGCAGCAGCAGTAACATCATCAACAGAATCATCATAAGCATCAAAATCCATGTCGTCGTCGTCATCATCGTAATCACCATCATCAGCCGCAACAGCACTCGCATCATCATCAGCACTAACATCGGTATCAGCATGAGCAGCAGCATCATCGTTCCATCCCCTCCCTCCCTGCCTCCCTTCCTCCCCGAGTGTCCATTTCCGACACCACCACAAGAACAGCTAACATCATTGAATCGCTTCGCTCATTCCGCCGGCCCGTATTGTGCCATCGCGGGTTCTTGGGGGGTCTTGGGAGCCCTTGGAAGCTTCGTGGGAGCTTCTTGGGAACTTTGGGAGGCCTCGTGGATGGCTCTGGGTGGGCCCTCTTGGTGGTCTCTTGGGGGGGTCTGCCTGGCCTCTTGGGGGCCTCCTGGGAGCTTCCTGGAGGTCTCTTGGGGGCCTCTTGGGGCTTTCTTGCGGCCTGTTGGGGGCCTCTTGGGACTCTCTTGGGGGCTTCGTGGGGCTACTTGGGGGCTTGTAGGGGCATTTCGGGGGCGTGTTTGGGCGGGAGGCTCAAAGTTTCCGTTCAGGTTGCCCCTGTGGATGTCAATCATGGGGCCGTCTTGGGGCCTCTTGGACCGGGTTTCTTGGGCCTTCTTGGAGCGCTCTTGGGCCGTCTTTGAGCGGTCTTGAGGGTCTCTCGGGCCGTCTTGGGGTGATCTTGGGGGCCTCTTGGACCGCCTTGAAAGGTGTGAAAGACGAAGAGGCGGATATGTTAAAAATGCACGTTTTCCTAAAGGGAATGAGACGGTTTTTGCTTGTGGGAGCCCTCTTGGGACGCCGCTTAGGGACCTCTTGGGGCGTCTTGAAGGCCTGTTGGGCCGTCTTGAGGCCATCGTAGGCGCTTGGGGGTGATATTTCGGCGTCTCCCGGCTCTCTTGGACCGTCTGGAGGGCTTCTCGGGCCCCTCTTGGACCGAATTGGAGCCCTCCTGGGCTCCGAAAAAGAGTTCTTGAGGGTTTCTTGGGCCTTCTTGGAGCGCTCTTGGGCCCTCTTTGAGCGGTCTAGAGGGTCTCTCGGGCCGTCTTGGGGTGATCTTGGGGGCCTCTTGGACCGCCTTGAAAGGTGTGAAAGACGAAGAGGCGGATTTGTTAAAAATGCGCGTTTTCCTAAGGGAATGAAACGATTTTTGCTTGTGGGAGCCCTCTTGGGACGCCGCTGAGGGACTTCTTAGGGACCTCTTGGGGCGTCTTGAAGGCCTGTTGGGCCGTCTTGAGGCTATCGTAGGCGTTTGGGAGGGATATTTCGGCGTCTCCCGGCTCTCTTGGACCGTCTGGAGGGCTTCTCGGGCCCCTCTTGGACCGATTTGGAGCCCTCCTGGGCTCCGAAAAAGAGTTCTTGAGGGTTTCTTGGGCCTTCTTGGAGCGCTCTTGGGCCGTCTTTGAGCGGTCTTGAGGGTCTCTCGGGCCGTCTTGGGGTGATCTTGGGGGCCTCTTGGACCGCCTTGAAAGGTGTGAAAGAAGAGGAGCCGGCATGTTAAAAATGCACGTTTTCCTAAAGGAATGGGACGATTTTTGCTTGTGGGAGCCCTCTTGGGGCGCCGCTTAGGGACCTCTTGGGGCGTCTTGAAGGCCTGTTGGGCCGTCTTGAGTCTTGGACCGTCTGGAGGGCTTCTCGGGCCTCTCTTGGACCGTTTGGAGCCCTCCTGGGCTTCGAAAAGGGACCTTGCCGGGAGTCTGCCGGGAGTCTGCCGGGACCTTGCCGGGACTCTGCCGGGACCTTGCCGGGACCTTGCCCGGGTACTTTTCGTCCGGGGACCCCCAGGGCCCGCCCCGCGCGCGCGAACTAGAAATATTGTTGAGCAGTTACCGGAGATCTTAGCACGCCTCTGGCCCGTTGGGCCGGCGAATTAGAATGTGCACCACGATCATCATCGTCACCACAGCCATCACCATCATCGTCGACAAAATCGAGAGCATCGTCGTCAACATAGTACTTAGCATCATCTGCAGCGACACCATCATCCTTCTAATCACCATGATCAGCATCATAATCATGATTAGAATCAGCATCATCATCATCATCATCATCATCATCATCAGCAGCAGCAGCAGCAGCTTCATACTCATCATCATCATCAGCATCATCACCATGGTCATCGTCATCGTCATCATCATCATCATCATCATCATCATCATCATCATCATCATCATCATCATCGTCATCATTATCATCATCAGCATCAGCATCAGCATCAGCATCAGCATCATCATCAGCATCATCATACGCATCACCGTTTTCGTCATCATCGGCATCAGCATCATCATCGTCATCAGCATCAGCATCAGCATCAGCATCATCATCTCGTCGTCGTAATCATCACCATGATCAATTATTATCACTGCTCCTCCGACTGTTCCTCCTCCATGGCCATATCCATGCCAGTCGTTCCTCTCATCATTCTCACCCGCCTCCCTGGTCACCCATTCTTACAACTTGCCATCATCGTTAACGGCATTATCCGCAGTATCGGCAGTCTCAGCAACACCAGCAGCATCAGCGTCAGCATCACCATCACCATCACCATCAGCACCAGCATCAGCATCAGCATCAGTACCAGCACCAGCATCGTCATTAAATTCATCATACTCGTCATCTTCCTGGCCCCTGCACCTCCCTCTTCATTCCATGTTCCTCCTCGCGCGCATCCTCATCCTGTGCATGCGCCTACTGTCTATCTTCTGCCGTCCACCTACTCCTCATCATCCTTCACGTCCTCATCCTCCTGTTGATTCGCATAGTGGACCATCCTCCGTCTCATCCTCCGCGAACGAGAAGCCAAAACTAGCCACGGCTCAAAGCAGGACTGCGGAAAAATGACAAACAAAGAATCGGAGGGGGAGAGAAAGAGAGAGAGAGAGAGAGCGAGAGAGAATAAGACTGCCCCCTTCCTCGCCTTCCTGCTTCTCTTCCTCCTTCCCCTCCTCCTCCCTCCCTCCCTCCCTCCCTCCCTCTCTCTCTCTCTCTCTCTCTTTCTCCTCCTCCCTCCTCCTCCTCCTCCCTCCTCCTCCTCCCCTCCTCCTCTCTCCTCCATTCCTCATCCTCCTTCTCCTCTTCCTCTTCCTCCCTCCTCCTCCCCCCTCCTCCTCCTCGTCCTCGTCTCCTCCTCCTCCTTTTCCTCCTCCTCCTCGTCCTCCTCCTCCTCCTCCTCCTCGTCCTCCCTCCTCCTCCTCCTCGTCCTCCTGTCCTCCTCCTCCTCCTCCTCCTCCTCCTTTTCCTCCTCCTCCTCCAGAAAGGTGCTCACGCCGTCCTCGAAAGTGGTCGGCACAGAGTACTCGCCGGGGCCGGGCCCAGGATCCTTGGCCTTCGGCATGCCAGAAGCCCGCCCGGCGGGAGACACGGTCCTCTGGGGACCCCGAAATCGGCGGCGCGCCGTGGGGATGGGGGTGGGGGGATGCCGGGTTCGAGGATCGAGGTTTTGTGGCGTGTCCGCGTTCGGTTCCGATGTTCGAAATCGGTCCGATCTCGGCGGCTTTCCGGCCTCGGGATGCGCGCCACCAGCTGCGCCTCGCCGAGAGCATTCCGGGGGCGCCCGGATCGTCCCGAACAGCCGCCGGAGAACCGACCTGTGCCCCAAAGCCACCAGGCCACCGAAAATGGGCAAGCCTCCCCGGAAGGCGGCGGGGCCTTTCAGAAGCCCTCCGGCCTTCTGAGAAGCCCCCTTTGTGGCTTCGCTTCACAGGCCTCGTGACCCTCGTGGAAAGGCCCGCCCCCGCCGAGTTCCCCCTTTGGGCGCGCCGCAGAAGAAAAGTAGATAACAGGCTCGGGCCGTGACGACGTCGGCGTTGGTTTTTGACACGGCGTGAATCGCTCAGCCTGCAGCGATCGCGGCTTTCCAACAGCGCTGATCGTTCGCCATCGGCCGATGCCGCGCAACTGGCGGCGTTTAACCTTGAACGCCCACGACGGAGTCGCCGCCGCATCCCAGCCTTTTACCGAACCCTTGACCACGGAGGACGTGATGCTTTTCAATCCTGGCGTTTTTCCCCAGCTTCCGCTTGCCAGTAGCACTTGGCCAATTCATCGTGAATTCGGGAACTATATTGACCCTATCTATAGGCTCTCAGTCTGGATGTTCTGATAAGCCATCAGTAAGTAGCGGCCCCAAGTTGGATCCCAAAGAGGACGTGCTTGACGCCATGGCTACGATGACCGTTAAGCGGATGTGCTGGGGTTGTTAACCAAGTATGAGCGTAGACAGGAGCGCCCGACCAGAAGCACGGCGCGCGCGGGTCTTTTTCTGTCTCACCTCTGAGCACAGGTTGCTGCGAATGGCAACGCACATGCTCATATTACGTGATACATGGCGCCGCCAGCCCTCAGTTGGAGGGCAAGGGCGGCGCAGTAGAAGATAGCGAAGGGAACGCTTAAAAATGGCCACCCCTGCGGCCGGCCTGGCGCGGGGACTCCGCGCGCGGGCGGAAGTCGGCCGTTAGCTATCAACCCCAAGCTGCGGCGGGACGCGCCAGCCCGAGCTCGGCACGCCCCGAGGGCCTGACGTCAGACTTCGCCCCTTCCCCAGGCACCTCGGCCCCCGCGGCGCCATGCCCCCAAAAAATTCCACGGCGCGCGCGGACGGAAAGGTGGCAATCCTGACACGGCCCTCGGGGACAAGCCGAAACAAGCCGGCGAGTCCCACTTAGACAGGAGCGCGCCAGCGCACGCCGCCCAGCGATCGGCTCATAAGGCCATCGCAGCCTGCCGCCACGCCGCGGCCCACGCCAGAACGCGCGGAGCACAGCCCCAACGCGTCCAGGGAACACTCAGAGCACAGCTCCGAAATGTCCCCAGCCTCTCTCTCTCTCTCTCTCTCTTCACCAGCGCCTGTCTTCGCTCCGCTGATCGTCACGGCCCCAGCTGCTGCGCCAGCTGTACCAATTGCCAGACCCCCATCCTGAGCTCCTTAACGACCAGCGGCTCTGCGAGCCCCAGCGCCGCGGAGGGCGCAGATCCTCTTCCTCCTCCGCAGCCCTCAACCGGATGTCCGTGTGCCGGCAATTCCTCGTCGCGGGCGTTCGGGGCAGAACTCGATGATGCTGCCGCCGGCAGCGATGGCCTGGGATGGAGCTCTCAGAGCGTCGGCTCCGCATCTCGGCGACGCATGACAGCGTGCCGATTATGCGGCCCCTGGAATCCGCGAAGCCTCACCCCTTCATCCCTGGTGCCTCCTTGCACTTTGCCTCCAATGGACGCGATTGCCGTCGGCAGGCGGACCTTGGGCCGGGTCGATGACGAGCGTTCCCCGCCCTGTCTGCCACGAGCGCCTCAAAGGCCCCGGCACTGCCGACACAGCTGGCAGTTGCCAGGTCCCTTTCCTCAGCCGCCGCAGTGTGAACTTCTTCCAGCGACCCCCAATGCTGTTCCAGCTCTTCATCCATCTCCATCTTCAGATCCGCGAGCGTCGGGAACAGCTCAGGGCGACAGACTTCGGCGAGCCACTGCCTCCAGCCATCCGAGGGTTCATCTGCCGCGATGTCGTCAGGGCGCGAGTAATCCCACTCGAACGGCTCGAGGAGGGAGTAGTCTTGCCGCTGAAGAGCCAACCTCCTGATTATGTGCGGCCACCAGACCCATGGACGATTGCGTTCGGGCCCGTGGCCGGAGTGCCGGAGTGCGCCGGGCACTTGATCCAGCGCTTCTCCAACTTTTGCGCCTCCTTCGGTCGGCGCCAGATCGTCAGGAGGCATTGGGCGCTAAGCGGAGGTGGACATGAGGTTGTTCTGGTACAGTCGGGGGCTTGACCTAAGGAACCCAAAATAAGGAACGAGGCCCCTTTTTTCCATGAGTTAAGCTTCGATTTCCGATCGAAAACAGAAGGAAAACCTGAGGCAAAAGGAACGCGGAGCCCCTCCCCAACCAAAAGGGTTCCTTCTTCAGGGCACCGACTGTATGCCGTCTTGCCCTGCAGGGCCTGGTTGCGGCGGAACGTCGCTCCAACGGCATCGGGCTGGGCCCATTTGTTCTGCGATTTCTTGGCCCGTCTATCCACGGCCTGGCCCCGAAGAGCGACCATTGTGGTCTTCGGCACTCACTTTGGCCACACCTACCCAACGGCTCAACGAGTTAAAATAGTAAGTATCATGACTTATGTTGTTATGGTTTTCTGAATGCTAAATATGTTCCCTAAAATTGTTTAAAGAAATAATGTGTATATATACATATATAAATATACAAATGTAAACATCATAATAATAATAGTGATACCAATAATAATAACAACAGCAATAATAATAATCATCATAATAATAATAATGATAATAATAGAAATAATAATAATAAAAAAATGTAAATAATAATAATAATACCAATAATAATGTAAATAGTAGTAGTAGTAATAATCATAATAATAACGATATGCTCCAGTAAGAAATACGTTTTAGACTTACGTTCAACACTGCGCGCACTTCTTGTTTGACGAGAGCGCCCCGCGTCTCCCCTCCTTTCTCCTCACCCTCCTCCCTTCTCCCATCCTCGGCTCTGCTCTCCGAAAGCCCTCATCACCATCATCACCAGGCCGCATGCGCCACTCGCACACCCCACATGCGCTTCGTGGACCCATGAGGAATTCCACCGAAGGCCCCAGTGAGTGTGCCCGCATGCGTCCGCCACACAAATCTCATTTCAGCAGACCCCTCATGTCTCGTGGCTACATCGGGAGCTGCACCGAAAGTCCCAGTGGGCGTGCCCGCATGCGATCGCCAACGCTTCGTGGCCCCATAGGGAGCTCCACCGAAGGTCCAAGCGGGTGTGCCCGTATGAGTCCGCAACACCCATGTCGGCACACCCCTTGGTCGTCATCGTCGTCGTCGTCGTCGTCGTCGTAGTGGTCGTCGTCGTCGACGTGGTCGTGGTCGTGGTCGTGGTCGTCGTAGCGGTCGTGGTCGTGGTCGTGGTCGTGGTCGGCAAGAAAAGCTTACGCCCCGATGGCCCCTCGGGTCGGCGGCCCGCTCACGCCCCGGTGGCCCCGTGAGGGTCGGCGACCCACTCTTGCGCCCCGATGGCCCCGTGGGTCCGCGGCCCGCAAGAAAAGAGAACTACGCCCCGATGGCCCCGCGTGGGTCGGCGGCCCGCTCGCGCCCCGGTGGCCCCGCGCGGGCCCGCGGTCCAGCCGCGGCCCGACGGCCCCACCTGGGCCCCAGAGACGACGACGACGACGACGACGACGACGACGACGACGACGACGACGACGACCGCGACGACCGCGACGACGACAATGACGACGATGACGACGACACACTCACGCCTCGATGGCCCCGCGCGGGTCGGCGGCCCACCTGCGTCTGGAGGGCCCCACGGGTCGCCGGCCCCCTCACCCACCCGTGGCCCCCCGCAGAGGCCCTGCGGAGCAGCGCGCTGCATGGTGGAGCATAGCGTAGCGTGCTCCGACGTCCATTACCTGTGTTTTTTCGGCTTCGTGCGTAGTTTTTTCGCCAAATGATCAAGGATACTCCTCGATGGTCCTCGCCGAGGAAAAAACGCACACGTCCGAGCGATGCCAAGTATCACAGCACTGACTTTATGCTGAGCGCGGCATTGCATGACACTGCACTGCCCTGCACGGCGGCCAGCCCGTCCGGCGCAGCACCGCGTCGGCATTGCGTCGCGCTGCGTGGCTCGGGATTGTCCCGCGAACAGCATCACCCAACACATAGCAGCACACATCCTTGTCGGCTCGAGATTTCTTTCAGCCGAGGAGGTCACGCGCGTGCGTCACGTTCATCGCGATGCAAGAAATTCTGACTGTAGAGTCGGGCGTGGTCAGAGCGAAGCGTTGGGTGTGGATGGATGACATGCGGGACTCTGCCAAAGCACTTCCCGATCAGAATCCGTGGACAGCGGCCGCACTACCCAAACGTGCAAAACGCCAAGGAAGAATTGTTGCGTACCGTGAGCACGCTGTACGCCGCGTTCGGAGACGACACCACGAAGCTCGTGATTGGTGGAGTGCGCCGCGACGAGATGTGGAAGACGTCGTTCAAGCTGAACGAGAATCCATCAGTGAGAAAGTTATTGCCTGACGACTGGGCCATCAACGAGAACTGGGCACTGGCCGTCACCGTGCTGTGGCCCGTGGAGGGCAAGGCGTGCGACGGTGGCACCGACTACAATGTGAAGCAGCAGCTCGCGATCGAGCGCGGTACATACGGCGACGAGGACATCTCCGCCGACGACGACCTCATGAGGTAGTACGTTGCCAATCACCACAATAAGAAGGAGCACAGGGACAGCGACGCCGCCGACGACAGCCACACGACGCAAGGTGCCAGGAACGCCATACGACGGCCAAAGAGGCCTCCCAAAAGCTCCCAAGGAGGCCCCGAAGAGGCCTCCAAGAGGACCCCAGAAATCTCGACAGACCTCAAGAGTACCACAGTAATCTCCCAAGAAGCCTTCTCTTCCTCTTTGTTCCGCCCTCTCTTCTTTTAATTAGTCGTAGCATCAGTTATTCTAAGCATGCTGAGTACTATGAGCACGATTCGATCTAAGTTTATTACGATGATAGTATGAGTAGTGTGCTTATTCTCTTTTTATTCTTCTTCAGGGTAGTAGCAATCCTCTTCCCACTAGCATTAGTAGTAGTAGTAGTATGATTCGTATTATTAGTAGCGTCCTTGCTCTTGGTATGCTTGATTACATGTTTCTTCTGTTCCCTCCACGTATTCCACGAAGGGTTTCCCCATCGGCTGGGGGAACAGATATCCCAATAACTTGACCGAGCCATGGCCACAACGTTCGGCCACATAGGTGCGTCCAGAAAGGCAAGCGGCGACGTTGCTTCGACATAGGCTTGTGTGTAGACTTGTTTCACAGTTAGTATGGTATGGCATAGCATGGTATGCAATGTCCTGCTGTGCTTCCATATGCGTTAGAATGCTGTATACCTCGTATGCCCGAATACATTGTCATGTAATGTGGTAGGTTCTGATATGCCATGATAGACTCAGTTCGTTATGCTATGTCATACTATATCTAACGATTCCGTGCTCTACGATGCTGTAATATAGGTTCCATGTGTTTTTATGGTGTATTCTGATATGTGCATTGAATACCCGCCAGCCCCCTCCGGGGGCGCAAGGCTGCGAAGGTGTGTGCGGTCTGCCGTCATGCGTTATGTGTTGTCATTTGTTATTTGGCCTGCCTGTTGTCTCTCCAGTCCTGTTTGCTGCCTCCTGTTTACTGTCTGCTAGGGGGCCCCGCCGCACCACAATCATGGCTGCTCTCCGGGCCACCCCAGGATTCTCATGGCGACGCCACCGAGCGGCCAGAACGGCCCGAGAGGCCTCCAAGATTGCCCGAAGAGGCTCCGAAGAGAGCCTCAGGAGGCCAAGACGGCCCAAGATGGCCCCAAGCTCTCCCACGATGGCCCCAAGACAGCCTAAGGTGCTCCCAAGAGGGCCCAAGAGGCCCCCACGAGGCCTCCCAAGAGGGCGATTCAAGCAAAGATCAGCGATTCTCCCGACGTTTTTGCAAGTTTTTGGCCTCCTCGCCTTTTCGGCCTTACGACGCTCCGAGGCGGACCCAAGGCGGCCCAAGAGGCCCCCCAGACGGCCCCAGGGCGGCCGAAGGGGGCCCCAAGACGGTCCAAGAAGCGCCCCAGACGACCCAAAAGGGCCCCAAGGCGGTCCCAAGGAGAGGCCCAAGAGGGACCTACACGAACCGAGGCCCCAAGAGGCCCCCAAGAGGCCCCCAAGGGACCCCCAAAGAGACCCCCGAGAGACCCAACATGTGCCCCGAGAGGCTCCAAGACGGATTCCAAGAAGCTCCAACAGTGACCCGCAGACGCTGCCTGGAGGCCTGCCGCAGCGCCCGCACTGGTAATAGGGGAGGGCCGGCGGCAGAGAGCGAAGCCCTCGAGGTAATACATGGCGTGTCCTGTGATGAGAACTGTTGTGGAGCTCTTGAACTCGGCCATGCATGCATAGTATGGTATGTCCTGTCCTGTCCTTGCATGCCGTAATGACCATGCTCTGCCATGTTGTGATGTGATCTGGTCTGGTCAGTGATGCTCCTCTCTTCGTCACGGATCCGTGAAGTCCAAATCTGTTATGATGCTATGTTCTCCTCTAGTGTAACTAACGCAATGAGATTGCATCCATCCTCTAGTGTAACTCACGCAGTGATATTGCATGCAACCCTGTTCTGCTGAATCATGTTGTATGATCGGCTATGATGGTAACTGCTGTCTGTTATGTTATGTTCCCGCCGTTTAGAGTATGGTGTGTCATGTTATGTAAGATCCCTTTTTATACATGTATATGTATAGATATACATATATATATATATATTACTATGGCCCCTTGTATTATGTTATGCTGCTAGTCCTGGTTTGTACCGGTAGAGGCGTGACGTCGTGACGCCCAGTCGGCATGGCGCCGTGCATGTCGGCGACGGCGCGAAGCGGGCAACCCAGGGACCACCACTGGTCCGTGGGATATGCCGACAACGGTATGCTGGGTGGGTGGTGCGGGTCGGGAGCATTGTTCCTAAAATCCAACCGTCGATCGTCGCTGTGTTCTAACCTATTCCAGCATGGTCGGTCAAAGTATTGTTAACTCTGGCGTGTGTGTTGAGTTCTCTTCTGCCACCGTACATTACGATATGGCTTGCTCGGTTATGTTACACACGACTCCTTGTTCAAATCATGCAGGCGTTGGTAGATCATATTACGTTATCCATGAGGACATGATGCTGTATCACCGTCTGGTACGGCATGGCATGTCTGTTTTGTTGTACTAGACAAACGTGTATTTTGTTGAGTTGCGCCAGATCATGGTATGGGCCGTCTATCATTTGGATGACCGTATGCTCGGTGCAATTCATGCAGTAGTAGCAGTAGCGGTACGTATGCGGCTATGTTACGTTATACGATACTATGATATGGATCTGGTCTGCGATGCTGTGTGTTGTCACGTTATGTTGTGTCATGCTGTGTTATGTCACGTTGTGTTATGTTCTGCTCCAGTGGCCCTGGGGATCTGGCGGCCGCGGTATGTGGCGGCCCACAAAAGGAATACAAGCGGGACAACAGCGGGATCACTGGTGGTCCTGGGGATCTGCCGGCCGCGGTATGCAGCTTGCAGGGCGGGCGGGTGGAGAGGCCTGTTCTTAAAACTTAACAGCTCCAACCTGTCGGGTGGGGAACAAATCCTTCCCCTCTTCCTCTTCATCCACCTCCACTCCTCTGCTCTCTTCCAATCCGCTCGGCCTCCCCTCCCTCCATCCCACCCTTCCTAGCCTTTCCAGCCACTTCCCCCCGTCCCCTCTGCCTCTTCCTCCTCCTCCTCCTCCTCCTCCTCCTCCTCCTGCTCCTCCTCCTCCTCTTCATCCTCCCCCTCCTCCTCCTCCTCCTCCTCCTCCTCCTCCTCCTCCTTCTGCTCCTCCTCCTCATAAAAATCCTAAGATCAAAACCAGTTAGGATAGTAATGGGTGAGTGGGGCGGCGGACGGCGGAATTGTATCGTTTTGGGCCCCAGTGTCCAGCTGGGTCCCTTCACAGGGCCTTTGTGGGTGACGCCGTCCTTCACCTTGCACGAGGGAAATGAAGAAGAAGAGAATCAAGAGGACGACGACGAAGCGTGAGACCTCCTGATTGGGGCCAACGTGGTTGGGGTCGATGGACCGCACTGCGTCGCCGATGCATCGGCGATAAATCGGCGACGTCGGGAGAAGAAGATCGACCTCCAGGTCGCGCTGGATCGACGTCGCAGCCCGCTTCTCCGACCGCATCTACTATGGCCCCATTTGGGAGGCCTGGAGAAGAGGACGCGGAGGGGGAATCAAGGAAAGGGAAGGAAAAGCATGCACCACCAGGCCCTCCCATCGCAACCCCAGTAGGCTCGCAGCCGTGGCGCATACCAGCTCCAGGGCATGGAAGTAGGAGGCCGTACATCGGCACGACCGGAATGGGTACAGAGAAAAATGGGCACGATGCCCAACAGCAAATGTAGTCCAAAACTGACAACAGCCGCTGTTGGGCAGGCGAAATCCTGTCTCAAATGAACAGGGTCCGCGCCGACACCGACAGCCAGTCTTGATCAAAGTGGATAGGAACTGATCTCAGCCTTCGTGCCCATTCGTTGTGTACCCGTTCTGATCGTACCGAGTCCCGAGTCCACGCCAGGCTCTGGACCCAAGATGGGCCAGAGAAGGCAACGGTGGGTGTCTGCGTGCCTTTCCCTCTCCCGAGGGAAGGAGGGGAAAGATAGCAAATCAAACGTCGTCGTCAGGTGAGCTTTCGGAGGTCCCCGCGGGCTTGCGCCGCCAGGGGGGGGTCCCAACGCCGACCCAAGAATCCGAAAACTTGTGCTTGTCCCAGCTTTGCTTCCTCGATTGCCTCGAGCAGGAGGAGGAGGCGGAGAAGAAGGAGGAAGAGGAGGAGGGGGGAGGATGAAGAGGACGATGATCCCCTCGCCGTGTACGTGACGCAGTCCGGCTTCTTCTGCCTGTCAGCGGGGTCGGCCAGCTTGGCGCGCATGGAGTACGCGGGCGCCTGGCTGACCACGGGCCGCCCGGTCTCCTGGGGGGGGAAGAGGGGAGGGAGGACGCCAGAAAGGAGCAAAGGGAGGGGATGTTACGCATTCGGCCACCGACCCTCTGTTACCCAACTCCAGACCTCCGACGACAGAAATTTTTCAGTCTGGGCGCTCTTACTCGATTCCGGTCTCCGGGGCCCGTTATCGGGCCCAGGGACCATCAGGAACGGATCCGGGGTGAAACAGGAGCGAGCCCCCACGGAAGGGGTCGGACCTCTGGGGTCGCGCAGCGAGGAAGCCTGATCGACGGATGTCCGGGTCGGCCTTGGGCTTCGGCGGTCTTCCGGCAGCCTTCGTCGGCCTTCGACGGCTTCCGTCGATCTTCGGCGGTTTCCAACGGTGCTCGGCGCGAGAGCTGGGTGGCTGCGTTTATCACGGGGGCCCATGATCGAATCCCACCAGCCGTTTAGGGCGTATGTGGTTTAGCGAGCTTAAAATTCTCATCCCCCTTCTGCCCCTTCGGGGATGGGCCAACCCATCCCCCAACCCCCTCCCCTGGACCTGGACGGGGCGCCCCACGACCCACTAGAGCGGCCAAGACGGCCTCGGCGACAAGGCACAAAGTAATGATTCGACTCAGGTTTCGACCAATTTCGGCCCCCTGAGGGGGGGGCGAATTGAGCCCCCCCCATTTTGATGGATCTCCTCCAAGACGGCCCCGAGATGGCCCCCAAGGCTCCCAAGAGTCCCCCAGGAGGGCCCCAAGAGGCTCTCAGGAGGCCCCAAGACGCCCCCAGAGGTCCCCAAAGAGCTGGCTCCCCTGAGGCACCCAAGACGCTCCAAGTGGACCTCAGAACCGCCAAGAGGACTCCAAGAAGCTCTCCAGAGACATCCGAAGAGACATCCAAGAGCCCTCTGGTCATTCTGCTCGCCCTCCTCCTCCTCCTCCTCCTCCTCCTCCTCGTCCACATCCGGGCGCGCGCGTCGGCCGACCGGCTCATTTTCAAGCTGAAGGACGAGCTGGCCAACCTCTCCTTCAGGCTCGCGGAGGCGCACGGGCTGCTGGCGGCCCTCGAGGTGGACGTCGACGAGGTGGCTCCCGGCTCCGGGGGCGACGAGCTGAGGCGCAGGCTTCGGCTCATCCTGCCGGTGCTCGCCGCCGGCATCGCGGGCACCCAGGTCGCGGGTGCGGCGCGCGCCAGGCGCAACCTGGCCGCGCACAATTTCGGCATTTCTGCCGAGACCATCGAGCGCGCCACGCAGCGGGAGCTCAACCAGCTCCAGCGGGACGGGCGCTCGAGCACGGCAGCAGCGGCGACTGGTGCGGCGCTGGGCGGAGGTACGGGACTTCGTGCTGGAGCTCCCATCTTCACCCCTGGGGCTGGGCGGTGGGTGCCTCTGGAGGACCAGGCGCGGCCCCACCCTGGCTTGCGCTGCACCTGCGGCGCCGTGGTGTTCAGTGACTGGGAGGCCTTCGAGAGCGGGCCCGCGCTGCTGCTGGGTGGCGACGCTCTGCTCCCGCCCCCTCGGCTTGGCGCGGCTGTGTACAGCTGCCCGCAGTTTCCCTCTCGAGGGGTGCCCCCCCCCTCAGAGGACGACTCTGAGGGTGCGCAGGCGCCGCTGGATGCAGGAGTCCGCGCGGCGGATATGAACGCCGAGTCGGTCGCGAAGGCTGTGGAGGACGTTACGGATCCTGCTCTCAAGCTTCCAGTTCCTGTCGGGGCTGATGCTGCGAGTTCATGGGTGCCGTCTGGTCTGCCGCCTGATCCTGGAGAAGGCCTGCTCTTTCAGGTTTCTGGTGGCTCCCTGTTCTTCGCCGACCGCGGGTGCGACCTCTCGGACTGACGTGGCGAGTATTGGCACTTCTTCACGATGTTCAAGCTGGTCTTTTCGGCTTTGTTTGTCATCGTATCCTTCTCCACGTCATGGTAGCTACGGGTACCCTCATTTTCGTGTTCGTCTTTGTCGGCATATGCTGGTTCTGGGTATTGGCACATTGCGTCGTATGGCATCGTTGTTTTCTCGTGCGGGGTTCTTTTTCCTGGTTCGGCCTCTTTCGGTGCGGGCTGTATGGCGTGCAGCTGTCCGACGAGATCTACGGCGTTATTGTGCTGCTCCTCATTTCTGGGTTATTCTGTCAGTTTTCGGCATGGAGGTGTACTTCATCAGATGCTGGGAGTTGCCGTTTTCTCTGGGCTTTTCCGTCTTCTTCGATTTCGGCTACTCCTTCATCACTTTCCTCATTGACTTGGGGTCCTTGAGCGTTGATGTCAAAATGTTCCTCCTCCCTCCTCCCCCTGCCCCTCCCCCTCCTCCTCCTCCCTCTCCTCCTCCTCCTCCTCCTCCTCCTCCTCCTCCTCCTCCTCCTCATCATCATCATCATCATCATCATCATCATCATCATCATCATCATCATCATCATCATCATCATCATCATCATCATCATCATCCACCTCCTCCTCCCCCACCACCTCAATCTTCCCCCTCTTGGGGTATGACGGCTTCCCCGACCTTTGTTTCCACCGCAAGCTCCTCCACATCCCTGATCATGGCAACTCGCCTGTGCATCGTTTCTGGATGGGCTGGTAGGGTTACGCGAAGCGTCTAGAATACCAAAGGGGAGGAGGGAGGGAGCATGTAACTTCGTCGCCGATGACTCGCTGCCCAAACGCAACGGCGTGGTGCGTAGGGTGCCGGGCCACAATCCACGGCAAGCCCTACCGAATCGACTAGCATGCACAACTGGACTTGTACCCCAGGGTCAATGGACACAAGGCCCCATGGGATTTTCGAACCACACCGGATCGGATCAGAATGCGCGTCGGATCGGCCTGCATCGGCACGGAATCGAAGTCGAATCGGATCGGCTGCGCCAGGATGCACACCGGTGGCACGCACACATCGGGCCCCAACGCATCGTCAGAAGGTCGGAGACGAATCTGCTCGGGCAAGAGCGGGCCCGACAGCGAACCGCGCATGGATCGGATCGAAGCGGGCCTTGGCTTGTCCACGTAGCGTCACCGTCCGTGCTACAGTGGAGGCCAGTCCACAAGAAACCTTCCACAAGAAACCCAACCCTGAGACCCCAGGGCGTCCACTGATTCTTGGCGTGGGAACATTACGCCTTCCATAGCACAACCATCGAGAGCCAACAAAGCCAGGGCACCCTGGAGGCAAGCAGGGTGCTTTTTGGCAAGGGCCCCCACTGTACCCCAAGGAGCGCTAAAGAAGAAATCTCGACGACCAGGCCGCGCAGGGGCCCTCCAGGGAGGCGGCGCGGCGCGGCGCAGGCTGACATTTCTCCGACGTGCCGGCCCAGACATCCTGCAGCGACTATCTCTCCCCTTCGCGCTCCGCGCGAGGCGCGATTCTCCTCGCGCTCTCGCGCCGTCCTTCCCCGGAGCGGGATGAAGGGCTCGCGCCTCGCTCCGAAGCCGCCCAGACCGCGGAGCGCGGAGCGCGACCAGCTTCGCACCCCCGTGGTGGCCCTAGGACTTCCGCCGATCCGACATTTCAATCTGTGGTCCCAGAGCTCCGGACCCCTTCCCTGGGGCCTCAATCTCCCGCCCTGGATCAATCCTTGACGGACCCTGTGCCCACGAACGCGCCCCAGTGGCCGAAACCGAGGAAAATGCCCGGGCTGAAAAATCATGTGTCGTCGGAGATCTGCCGCTGTCCTGCCCACCCTTGGCCGTCTGGTAGTCGTGCGGGGCGACGTCGCTCGTGCCGGCCTCATGCAGGGGCCGCCGCTTGGCCGTGAGGAACGGGACCTGCAGGATTATATTAGATCCGGGCATGTCCTCCTGCAGGCGGATTTTGGACGAAATATGAAAAGACTCAACAAACTACGTGTTCAAAATTGCAAGAAGAAAGAAAAAAAAAAAAAAAAATCGTCCCCAGACCATGTTTTGGCTATTTTCGAATATTCCCCCTGCAGAGGGACACGCCCGACTCAAGGATAGAACGGGAGCGGCACCGGCGGCGGCTGCGGCGGCGGCGGCGGTGGCAGCGGCGGCGCGCCGTCAACCCGACAGGGCGAGAAAAAAAGCGAGGGTCTTGCGCTAGATTCAGTGGCACAGCGACCTTACGCGGAGGAGGAGGAGGAAAAGGAGGAGGAGGAGGAGCACGATAGCATTGCGCATTTAGGCGCTGCAGACACACTCGCGTACAGAGCTGCGAGAAAACGTGGCCACACGCGACCTCTAACGGCGGGCACTGTCAAGCAGGCCCCGGGCGGCGCCAAGTTGATCGACTCGTCACATTTACGTTCTCTGCTGAGTTTGCGCCCGCAAGAGGAAGGAGGAGGAGGAGGAGGAGGAGGAGGAGGAGGAGGAGGAGGAGGAGGAGGAGGAGGCCGCCAGCGCGGCGGGCTGCACTGGAAACGCAACGAGGGCGCTCACGCGCGACCTTGCGCGGGCAGCTCACGCCCGAGTGCCCGCGCAGTCGAGGCCGTTGATCTGCGTCGCTCAGCCGGAGCAGCGCGGCGCGGGGGCGCCGCCAGGAGGGGGTCCAGCGCGGATCCAAGAAATCCGCGCGGGCCTTCGAAATCCGCGCGGGCCTTCCAAGATTTCGAAATCCGCGCGGGCCTTCGAAATCCGCGCGGGCCTTCGAAATCCGCGCGGGCCTTCGAAAGCCTCCGCGCGGATCCAAGAAATCCGTGCTTTGTGCAGCTCATTTCAGGCTCCGAGTGGCCATCTGGTCACGCGCCCCGCCCATGGGGAGACTTGGCAGAATGAGGGCGAAGAGGAGCGAGGAGGAGGCGATCAAAGACATCTGGCGGTATCGTGTTGTCTAACCGCGGCCCCAGAGGCCCCGACCCCTTCCTCGAGGCAGTTGTAACCCGCGATCCGTTGCTGACAGTCCCCGAGCCCGAGAACGGGCCCAGGAGGCCGAAATCGACGGGAACCCGCTGGTGACAAAAAAAAAAAAAAGGTCGCGGGAACTGGAGACGAATCACAAGCGCTTTCCGAACGGACCAGAACTTGCGGCCAAACAGACAAGTGTACTGTACCATGGCAGGGCGGGCCCACCTTAGATAGGGGTGCATCAGAGGGGCCCGCTGGGGTTGCTTCCGCAACTCCCCCCCCCTGTCCTGAGCGGCCTAATCTTTCTTGGAGCGGAACTGTGGGATTGGGAATCAAAAGTCACCTGCGAACGACGAGAAGCCAGGAGGAGGAGCCAACTCGCATGGGCAACGGCGGCGGCGAGGCAGGCGACGGCGGCCTGCCCGTCCCGCTTCATGGTCGGGTTCGGAAGCAGGCTGCTCGGCAGGGAGTACTCCCCTGGCCCCGGCTGGGTCGCCGGCTTGGGGATGCCATTCTGCCTCCCGGCACCCGCGCCGATTGTCCAGCTCGGCGCGTCCATCCTGGAGGGGGGACGATCCCTGACATGCTCGCGTCGTAAACCAAAAACGGCATGGGTTGTTTTGCCATTCCCGGCCTCTGGGGGCCATCGCCAGGCCCCAGGACCGTCAAAGAACGATGCATGATGAAAAGCCGGTCCTGGACTACATGGGTCGAGACCTCGGGGGGGGCCGCGTCGCGAAGAACGCTACGTCGGATGCCTGGAATAAGGGGGAACTAGCTCAGGGGTGGGGGAACATTGCCTTGGAATCGGCGGCACACCGCCGACGGATCGGCGATAGGCCCCCGACAGCGGAACCGCACGGTCCTGCCTAGGCCGGGTATATGGGCCCAGGCCCCGATTGGACTACGAGTGGGCACGTGGGGGGTGCTGGGCCCCCCCACGAGCCAGTCCCCCCCTGTCGTTACGCCGGATCATCTGTTCCCTGGCTCTCGGGCCACGCCTCGAACCTCTGGCGACCGTGCGGGAAGCGCCCGGCACCCCAGGGAAGGCGCGGCCGATGGAGCCCCCCTGGGCTTCGGAAACGCTCGAACATGTTAGCCAGCGTGGACCCCACACAGCAAGTGCTCACAGTCTTTGCGGCGCATCCAGGTGGCCGCTGAAATGCAGACCCCAAGGGCAGCGGCGAGGGGGTCGGCCGACGCGCCTCGGCACCGCGGCGACGCGCGCGACTCCACGGCCTCTAAGGTGTCGACCCGGCGCCACGGGGTTCTCCAAGCGCAGTCGCGGACGTGGGAGGCGGCGCGGGCTGCGAGTTGCCGTCGCAGGACGCCGCGCCATTGCGCGCGCTCTGCTTGAGGGCAGTGAGGCTGGGCCACTGCTGTGCCTCCAGCCTGTCTCGCTTTACTGTCATGTCCTTCTTTTTCGCCATCGAAGTGCCAGCCCCCTTGCAGGCCCCGGAAAGGGAATTCCTGCTGCGTGGCGCGGGGGCCGCGCGCCGCTTGGCGCGCGTATGTCTCCAGGTTGGAACGGTGCTTCATGGCGATGATGTTCCCGCGCAGGTCGCACCCGCGGAAATGGTACGCCGCTCCTCGAGCGACTCGTGTTCAGCCCGACAACTCCTGGCCCCGAACCGACCCTGTCGCCCACCTGGCCCGATCCCCGCACCGTCCTGGACACTCTGTTCTTGGGACCCCCCACCCGACAATGCCTGGCCCCGAACCGACCCTGTCGCCCACCTGGCCCGACCCCCGCACCGTCCTGGACACTCTGCTCTTGGGACCCCCCACCCGACAATGCCTGGCCCCGAGCCGACCCTGCCTCCCACCTGGCCCGACCCCCGCACCGTCCTGCGAACTCTGTTCTTGGGACCCCACCACCCAACAGTTCCTGGTTCCGTACCGACCCTGCCGCTCACCTGGCCCAGCCGCTCACAAGCATCCCTCTGACGCCACGAGCGCGCCGCCGCGGTCCGCCTCGTCATCACCGCTCGGCTGTCGCTTTGCGGCGGGTGCACCAGGAGAACGACTGGAACGCACGCGGCGCGAAGGGCCGCGTCGCCCGCGGTCCACGCGGCACCGTGCGCGGCCACGACGGCGGCGCCGGCGGCGCGCGCCGGCGGCTCCTCCGGGTCGACGGCACGGGCCGCACGGACAGTCAGAAACTGCCCCAGACGCTCGCTTTTCGGCACGAACGACATGGGTACGGAAAAATGGGTACAATGCCCAACGGCAGTTCTTGCTCATTTTGAACAGGACTCGCTGCCCACGCCGCCGCGGCCTGTGTCAATTCGAGTCAGAAGGCCGCCTGCCCCACAGCGGCCGCTGTTGGTTTGGGACAACATTTGCTGTTGGGCGTTGCACCCATTCTTTCCGTGCCCAATTCGGGCGTCCAAACTTTTTGCGGTCTCCTCCCGCGCGCGGCGGCCAGCCCGGGCACGCCTTGGCGACGCGTCGCGCAGCAGTGGACGGGGCGCAACGGTGGGCAGCACACGGTGTGCGATCTGCCAGTTCTTCTCGGCGCCGCCCCTGTCCGCTGCGCCCACTCGTCCTCCCGCCGCGCGCACCGAGACCTGCGGCGAGACGCAGCGCATGCCTTCCGGATCGACTTCTGCTCGTGCTCCGCGACCTCTCCCGCAGAAGCATCCCGACGAACGAACAACACACACATACCCATAGGGAGGTCGGAGGGAGAAGGACTGGCTGTGGGTATGGGTGCGGGCTGTCGGACCCCTGGTGGGGCTCCCGTAGGACTGGGGGGGCTCCCGTTCGAGCGGGGACCCCCATCCGACAACAACGCACCCATAGCTCATTCCGTCCCCCCTATGGGTATGGGTGCTTGTTGGTCGTTCGCGCTCGCCATATCCAGGACTGCCTCGCGGATCACGTCGTGCTCTACGCGCAAGCGCTCACGCAAGCGCCCCTCACCTTTAGCAGACCTCACTGGCCGCGCGGCGCCCACCGCACCCCGAGCCAAAGCCGGAAGCGGGGCCCGAGCCGGGCCTGGGGCCACACCGGGTGCCGCGGCCGGCACCACCTCCTCCTCCTCCTCCTCCTCCTCCTGGGGCCGGCGCCCAGAGCGAGGCAGAGGCCAACGAGGCCGAGGCCGGGGCCAACGCTGCAGCCGAAGACGGAGCCGCGGCCAGGGCCAGGGCGGGGGCCGAAGGTGAAACCAAGGCTGGACGCACGTCGTCACCAGCGTCGAACCAATCGTTGTTACCGTCGCGCAATCGGTGCACATTGTCATCGGCATCGTTCTCATCGTCGTCGTCGTGGTCGAAGCACGAATTTCCTCCGCCACCTCCGCCACAAAGCGCTGCGATGATCCTCCTCCTCCTCCTCCTCCTCCTCCTCCTCCTCCTCCTCCTCCTCCTCCTCCTCCTCCTCCAGAAGCGGTACTCCTACCAGGGCCATTCCCAGCACGGCAGCTGAGGGCACCTGGAACAGAATTCTGGGCCGAGACCGTGGCCGGAGCTAGGTCCGCGACTGGTACAAAGCCCGATGCAGGGCACAGAGCGGGCGCCGGAGACGAGACCGAGGCTGAGGCCCGGCCCGAAGTCGAGCCCAGAGCCGAAGCCGGAGAAGGCGGAACCCCGCGCTGCTAAAAATTCGCGCGAGCCCGGGCCTGCCGCGACAAATCCGCGAGACTCCAGGCCTCCCTGCGAGGCGGGTATTTATCCACATCCACGGCCTGGGAACCGACGTCCCGGTGCCCCAGCGGGCGGTGGATGTGGATGTATTTCGGCCCCCAGGGGCCCGAATATGTCCATATCCACCGCCTGCGAGGTCCCCGAAGATTGGTCCTACAGGCGGTGGTCATGTGTAAATTCCCGCCTCGGAGAGAAGGTGGAAGCCCGTGCTGCGAAAAATTCGCGCGAGCCCGGGCCTGCCGCGACAAATCCGCGAGACTCCAAGCCTCCCTCAAAAAATTCCAAATACAGTCGGCCCAGATTAGTAGGTCGGCCCTGCCAAATCAAGGGTACCTTTGTGTCCTGTGTCTCGCGACCCATGCTTCCTACATTCCTGTGGCAATGTGGCCCTCGGAAGGGTCTTGTGTCCTCTCGCATGGCCTGTCCAATCAAGTCCGACTGTAGCTCTCTGAGTGCTGAGAGGCTTCAGACTGAAGCCGGCAGCGCAAGGTCCATCGGGCCTTGCCGGCGCCGGGCAAGGCGCCTCGCAGCGCCTTTTGCCGTCACTCGCAGCGTGTTCTGGCAAGCGTATGCCTACTCGTTCCCACTACGCGTGCCAGAAGCCTTTCCAGCACGCGTACTGGGAGGAGGAGGAGGAGGAGGAGGAGGAGGAGGAGGAGGAAAAGGAGGAGGAGAAGGAGGAGGAGCAGGAGGAGGAGGAGGAAGAGGAGAGGGAGGATGAGATGGAGGAGGAGAGGAGGAGGAGGGCGAGGAGGAGAGGAGGAGGAGAAGGAGGAGGGGGAGGAGGAGGAGGAGGAGGAGAGGAGGAGGAGGAGGGAGGAGAGGGAGGGGGAGGGGGAGGAGGAGGAGGAGGAGGAGGAGGAGGAGGAGGAGGAGGAGGAGGAGGAGGAGGAGGAGGACGAGAAGGAGGCGATGCGCATCCAGGTGGTGCAATCAATGTGGTGCAATCTAGGCGGAACAGTTCACGTGGTGCAATGCATGCGGCGCAAAACAACTCAAAGCTATACCAAGCAGTGCAAAGCAGTGCGAGGCAGCGCACAGCGCAGCGGACCAGTGCAGAGCGCGACGCAGTGCAGTGCCGAGCGATGCAGAGCGATGCAAGGCAGCGATTTCGAGAGCCCCTGGAGAGGGGGAAGACCCCCCCGAGGGAGAGCCGTGGCGGCGGCGACGGGCGGCGGCCACGGGCGGCGACGGGCGCTCCCTGGCCCAGCGGCCTGGCACCCGGGGCTCGGCGACGGGCGGGCGGCGACGGGCGGCGGCGGCGGGCGGCCACGAGCTGGCCGGGCCGGCTCTGGGGCCCTGTGTTGCCTCAGAGGCGAAGCTCGAAGCCCCGAGTGCAAGCACTGCCTGGGGGATTGCCAGAAGAAAACGCTCGAGGGCCCAATGCTCTGAGAGCCCTGACATACGCCGAGGTGAAATTCCCCCCCCACCGACCGCTGCCCCTGGACAGCTTCCCGAAGCCCGACGGAGAACGCCTCAAGCCCTTGCATTCCGAACCTTCGCTCCCCCGGAGCCTGTCCCATCCCTTGCCCCTGGTTCCTGCCTCCTGATGGCTACATAGTCTTCAGACGAAGCCTCCCCCCCCAGGACAGGTCGGCCCTGGGGGGGGGGGGGGTGATCAGGCCGAGCAGCCGGGTCACTGCTGTGACCGGCTCTGGCAACGAGATGTGGGTGAGCAAGGGTGACAGACAGACAGCGACGGAGGGAGAGAAGAGTCGGCGGTGGACAGACCTCCCTTTCGTAACCCTCCCCTTAGTGGAAACGGCCTGGGACCGAAACCGACGGACCTGGACCCGCAAAAATGACGGCCGCGAAGCCCTCTCGCGAGCCGAACACGGCCAATTCCTTGATCGACGTGTCAGGGCAGGAGGTCCATCCACCCCCGATGGGGGAGCCAAGGTGACAGACAGACAGCGACAGCGGGAGAGAGGAGAGAGGGAGGGCAGCGTTGCCCATGGCGTCCTCCCCCTGTGCGTCGTCGACCCGCCGATGGTGTACGCCCCCGGCTCGGGCCGCGCCTCCTTGGCCGAGGGGTCCACCAGCTTGGCGCGCATGGAGAAGCTCGGCTGCGTGGACACCGCCGTGGCCTCTTCGGGGGGGGGGGACGGAGGCGAGGAGGAGAAGGAGGAGGAGGAGGAGGACGACGAGGGGGAGGACGACAAGGACGAGGAGGAGGAGGAGGAGGACGAGGAGGAGGAGGAGGAGGACGAGGAGGAGGAGGAGGAGGACGACGACAAGGACGAGGAGGAGGAGGAGGAACCTGAGCCCTTGCCCTTCTTCCGCACCGGGCGCTTGCCGCCCTGCTTCGGGCCCCCTGGGGCCATCGCAGATCGCTGCTTCTCGGAAAGCGCCGCAGAGGGATGGGGCCTGGGGCTCCAGTACAGGTGGAGGCCCGTCCACAAGAAGCCTTCCACGAGAGACCCAACCCTGAGGCCCCAGGGCGTCCATCGATGCTTGGTGTGGGAACGTCGCGCGCTCCGCGGCAAAACCAGCGAAGCCCAGGGCGCCCTGGAGGCGAGCAGGGTGCTTCTTGGCATGGGGCTCCACTGTAGTGACTTTCCAGGATGCTGCAACTTTTTCGTGACGTCGGACCTCGGGAGAAGAAGCAGGGCGGGGACGGCAAGCGACCACAGCCACACCGAAGACATACTCTGGGGGGGATATCTTGCGCAAGCCAAAAATGTGTCGGAACACCGATCGAGACGCGCCGGGGGGGGGAACAGGAACACCCCAAGTGGTGGAGTTGATGTTCTCGACTTGCCTGCTTGGCTGCGGGTTCTCTGCATCTGGTGGTCAGCGTGGGGGCCCTCCCCCCCGACGGGGGTCGACGTCAGCCTGGCCGCGCGGCGCGGCGGGGGTCAGATCCGCCCCGTCGGCGCACCGCGGGGGAGGGCCAGCTCTGCCGCGGCAACGCTCGCCCGACACGGGGGTCGATTGGGGGCTGTCGGCTGGACGCACCAGACGCAGACCAGGCTGGACCCCGCCGGCGGCGCCCCTGGCGCGCTCCGCGCGCCAGCGAGGGGGATTCCAGCGCAGAGCCACGAGATCCGCGCGGAGCTCCGAACAGTCGTGGGTCTGCCGTGCTGCGCGCTCCGGCTCGGACCCCTCGCTGCCAGTGCCACAGGCCGCCCCCTCGGGCGCGCCGCCGTGCACCCGAGACGCACTGACCTGGGTCAAACACCGGGCCAGTCTGACTACCTACCAGACCACCCCAACCCAACCCGAAGGCCCGAATTTCGGGTTGGGGGGGGTAAGGGTTCCACTCGTGTTTTTTCGACGTTTCCCGACCCCCCCCCACTGGAAATCGAGAGTAAATCTGAGCCTTCGGGTTGGGTTGGGGTGGTTTGGTGGGTGGTGATGACCTGGGTCAAACACCGGGCCAGGCGGGCCTCGGGCCTTGCAGGATCCTGCGCGCTGACCCAAGTTGATGCCACCCCTGGCTCTGCAGGAGCCTGCAAGATCCCGCGCTCTGGCTGACCCCCGTTTGCACCGACCCCCTGGGCGGCTCCCGGTAACCGCACCCCCCTCTTGAGAATGGAAGCTAATCATTCGTTGCGCGGGCTTCTTGGCAGATTGACGCAAGAGTTCCCCTCCCACGGCGGCCACTGCTGGGGGTACTCGGGATTCCTAGGACTCCCTTAGGATTGCAGAGGATTCGTAAGTGTTCCCACGGATTCCTAAGGATTGCTAAGATTCCCTTAGGACTTCCAAGGCTTCCTCAAGATTCGTAGGGTTCCTCTGGATAGGATTCCTGGGAATCCCTGGGAATTCTCGGGATTACATGTGGGTTTGTACTACCACCCTTGTAAAAAGATAATAGAGAAACCTTACGCAGTAGCTCACGGCAAATTATCCATTGGGAGCAACAGCGATCCAACAATATCCCGCACGGAAAACAATAGTGCGCAAATAATTTCACGCGCGGCAGCCACCGAACAAGCTCAGCACAATTATAGGAGGGAGAACGAGTACGAGGAGGAGGAGGAGGAGGAGGAGGAGGAGGAGGAGGAGGAGGAGGAGGAGGGGAAGGACGAGGGGAGGACGAGGAGGGGAGGACGAGGGGGAGGGCGAGGAGGGGAGCACGAGGAGGAGGGCGAGAAGGGAGAGCGAGGAGGAGGAGGGCGAGGAGGGAAGAGGCGAGGAGGGGAGGAACGACTATTCCCAGCCGAGAGCTTAGAGGGGGGAGCCATCATTAAAGACTTTCTACGGGTACCCCCCACTTCGCATGTCTGACCGTCGGCGCCGTCCCCCCTTCTTACCTGCCCTCCACCTGGCTTTCGGGCATAACTTGTGCTTCGGACGACCGTTCGGGACGACTCCGGTAACACCGGGTCGCCCGCGACAATGTGTAGCCGATGGAAACCAACCGGGGCCCCGAAGACCTCTGAGAAACTTCCAAAACGTCAGAAAACACGCTGGAAACCAACCCAGACCCCCGACGTCGTGATTGCTCACACGTAATCCCCGTACACTGGGGGCCCGACCACACGAAACCTCCCACAAGAAACCCAACCCTGAGACCCCAGGGCGTCCATGGATTTGTGGTGTGGGAACGTCACAGCCCTCTCCTCCTTCTCCTCCTCCTCCTGTTCCTCCCTGCACTCTTCTGGCCACAAATCCGCATCGTTCAAAGCAGTCCCAGGGAACTGCTTGGGACTGCACACACACCACATCAACAAGACAGATACCAGGCGAAGCAACGCGGCCGTACATCACCCGCGTCTGCTGAGGGCGGGGGTGCCCAGCGAGGCAGGTCGATGCCCGCCCTGCGAAGGCGACCGCGCGCTCCAGGCAGCCCTCCGGCGCGGCACCAGCCTGGGCGCAGCCCCCTTGGTCCCGCAGGGATGCAGCGCGTGCGCGGCGGGTGCTCCAGCGACCAGGGGTCCCGGCAGCAAGCCGCCCGTTTGCTCCAGGGCGCGGGGGCACGTGCTCCCGGCCGCCGCCCTTGCGCCCCGGCAGCCGCGTCGCCCGTGCTCGACAAGGAGAGGTTAGGAGGAGGAGGAGGAGGAGGAGGAGGAGCGAGGAGGAGGAGAGAGGAGGACCAACAGGATGGGGGGAGGAGGAGGAGGGCTTCCAAACCGCGGAGGGAGAGGTGGGAGGAGGAGAGGGAGGAGGAGGGGAGGAGGAGAGGAGGAGAGGAGGAGGAGGTCGGTTTGAGGGAGCGGGCTCGGCCTCGAGGCGGCATCTCGGCGCGTCGACGCCTCCGAGAGAGCTCGGAGACGCGGACAGGAGGGAGGAGGAGAGGCGGCGGACGGGCCAGGAGGAGCGAGGAGGGAGGGACTGGAGGCACTCGCGGCCCAGCGCCTTCGGGAGGCAGAGGGCGGAGAGGGGAGGAGGAGGGAGGAGGCGCCAGGAGGGGGAGCGGAGGGGGAGGAGGAGGAGGGGAGGAGGAGCTGGAGAAGCAGAGAGGAGGCAAGGCGGAGCGGAGGGAGGCGGAGGAGGAAGAGGAGGAGAAGGAGGACGAGGAGGAGGCGGAGGCGGAGGAGGAGGAGGAGGAGAACGAGGAGGAGGAGGAGGAGGAGGAGGAGGAGGAGGCGGAGGAGAAGGAGGAAGAGGAGGAGGAGGAGGACGAGAGAGAGCAGGAGGAGGAGGAGGAGGAGGAGGAGGTTCAAGTGAGAAAGTGCCTGGTAGAACCAAACAGTGGACGCCCGACCCGCGACGAGCACAAGCACTGTTCGGGCTTAAACAAAACTAGAGCGACGAGAGTGCACGCGCTTTTGGCCGCTGCAGGCGCGTGCCGTCCCTCACACGCTCAAATCAGGCCTCGGCTGAGGCCCGGCTGTGCCGCCAGGCTGGCGGCTCCTCGGCCACCCAGCTCCCACGCCCCCTCGGCGCCCGTGACTTGCGGGTGGTGCCGAACAGGGCTGTTCGGGCTTAAACAAAACTAGAGCTTTTGGCCGCTGCAGGCGCGTGCCGTCCCTCACACGCTCCAGGCCTCGCTGAGGCCCGGCTGTGCCGCCAGGCGGCCACCCAGCTCCCACGCCCCCTCGGCGCCCGTGACTTGCGGGTGGTGCCGAACCTCACAGCTGGGCACCTCGTTGCCCAGCGCGTGCAGGCGTCGGCGGAGCACCCGCTCTTCCTCCACCTCTCCTCGGGGACCGCGCTGGCGGGACGCCCCGGCCACCTCCGCCTCTCCTCGGGGACCGCACTGGCGGGACGCCCCGGCCCTCGGCCTCCTCACCTCCGCCCGCCCCTTCGGCACCCGTGACTTGCGGGTGGTGCCGACTGGGGCTGGCAGCCCTCCTCCACCTCCCTTTCGTACGTCGATCCAGCGGGTCGCCACTGCCCCCAGGCCGCTACCCCAGGACTGCGCACAATCCAGCCACGGCTCCTCCAGTGTTGACCCGCCTTAGCTCTAAGCTCGGACTCCTGCGACTGTCTTCAGGCTCCCGGCTCCTCCTTCGCACCAGCAGCCGGTCCGCCTCCCGACACGCCCGCCTTATATCCCACGTGCAGGGTCGCAACCGACTTCGCCATCGCCTCAGACACTCCGGAGGCGTCTTCATTTGCCTCCCACAGATACTGGTGAAAAGCTCCACTGTTCCACCGTCCCCATCGCTTGACCAGCTCCGTGTCCTGAAAGCAATGGTACAAGGCCGTCGCTCCCCCAATACGGAGCGAATGACTCTTGAACCTGTCAGGCGGGTAGCCCTCCAACGCTGCTGCCTTCTGAAGTACTCCCTGAATGCGCTCCCGCGTGATCGGGCTACCGTCTTCCCACCTCGCCAGAGGTAGATGTGCCTCTTTGCCCACGATACGGCTCGGGAACCAGTGGTTGTAGCACTCCGCCGCCCACACCGGGCAGATGCCGTGCGGGTCGTTCGACCGGAAGTGGTTCCTCGCCTGCCCTGCTCCCTTCTGGTCCGCCTTCGAAGCCTTAAACCACAGCACCACCTCGTCCGCGGCGGCGAAGTGACTCACCTGCTCGCCTTTGCACTTCGGGGAAATATCCAGCCCGGTCAAGACCTTCTTCAAATCCCAATGCCCCGAGTGAGCATACTCGCCGATCCGCATCATGAAGAAGAAAGCGAAGATCACGCAGAAGTACAAGGCGGCGTCGTCCGCACACAGGTCCGGCTTCAGCATATC